TTTGGAAAAAAATAAATAAATAAAAATTGGTGATTGTTGTTGTTCTATTTCTTAATTGGCGCCATACCAGTAAACCTGACTTCGCGATACGTGCAATAAAAGTAAAAAAAATAGTATGATTCTAAAAATAGGGCAATAAGGCAATGACACCAGGTAAAAACTTGATTTAATGCAGAATACTACGGTACACATGGATAGAATTAGAGACTAAATTGACCTTATTAGATTCAACGTGGATAAGGAACCGCTCTAGTAAAACGTAAAGCATTTTGGCCGACGTTTTTATCTCCTTTTCAGTAGAAAGACTCCAGTAAGACAACGTCTCACCTCCTTCCCTTTTTGGAATCACGCGAAACTGGCTTGAGCCTCCCCCATTCCCATTTTTATAAAAAGAAATAATGAATGAGGCCTAAAAAATAGCTGAAAAAATCATTTTTAGTGAAAATAGTCTTCTTTCTTCTTAGCACGCAGTGCCTTTCTGAATCTTGCTAACTTGAAAAAAAAAGTCGTTTGGATCTAAGAGTCCAAACTCAAACAAAATTTGACGAGAAAAAACACCCCAGAATCAATGGAATATTAGCTTGAATCATGAGTCTTGGCTCTCGATCCAAGCAAAAATCCGATTGAATCAAGAATACTTTTTCTTGCCAAATTTTTGAAGGGTCTGGGCTCCAGATCCAAGAGACTTTTTTTGCCGGTGTTTAATAAAACCCATGAGCGGGGGCTCTAAAAAAGGGTCATTAGAGCGACAAAATTACAGTGGCCGGGCTTGTTGCGCTTTGAGGAACTTGCGATAAGATAAGACAGGGCGAATCCCCCGTTGCGAAAGCTCCCGACGAGGCGCCGGCCTCGCGGCGCAAAGTGGGTCAAGTCCATCGGAGCGGTTGGACTAAATATGGGAACTTCAAAGGCTGTTAACTCCGTTTTTACAAAATTTTGAGGCCTTAAAAGTGGTTTTATTGCTTTCCAGTGAAATTGTCTTTTAGCAGCACCCCTTGAAATTTACGACTTTTATGCATTTATAAATGTGACAGAATTAACATAAAAATTTGCAAGTTTTGGCCAAAAATTCAGGGTTGCCACAAAATTTAGAAAAGAAAATTCCCTGACACATTTATGTAAAACTGCCTGACAAATAAAACATGCAATATGGCAAAAAAGACATAAGATGAAATAGTTTTCAGGCAAAATTTGCTGTTCTGAACGTCAAATTCACTCTAAATAGCTTAACGAGGTAAATTTACAATTTTTCCTAGACACTTTCGTCATTTTCCCTGACACTTCCAAGTTTTCCCTGACTTTTTAAAATTTCCTGATATTTCCCGGTTATCCCTGACTGTGGCAACCCTGAAAAATGCGTGTCCGACCTCTAACGGTTTCGATCCACTGTGCGGCGGCGGCGGCGTTCGCTCACTTCGGAACAGACTCACTTAGTATGATCGATCGTCGCTCGTCGAGTTGGAAAGTGTCACTCCGGCAACTCCACCGACTTTCGCCGATAATTTATTTGACGCCCTTTACACACGAAAAAAAAAAAAATAAATAAATAGTGGCTACACGGGCTCACCGCTACTAACATGCAAAGTTATGATGGCTTTTCATTTGATTGATCGCGCAGGTCGCGAGGGATCCCTTTTCTAAAAAAAAAAAAAAAAAAAAAACGCCCGCCCGCCCTCACCTACGAAACTGGAATTCTGACGAGTGATGACGTCATGCATGCGACGCATCCGTCCATTTACGAGCGACGTACCCGCGTCATCAAGCGCGGCAGTGAGAATTCATCGCGAGAGATGTGAAAAAGTGCCAGAGTAACTCCTACACTAGTGAAAAAAACTCCGTCAATTAATGAACCAAAAGTGCGACATCCAAGTTCACCAAAGTGAAGCGAGTGATACAGGTCGGTTGCACGAGAGTAAACCTATACAGGGAGTGTGCGATGCGGACTATACTACCGTGCTAAGTCAAAACGTCACATGAACATTCGAGAGTTGCCAAATTTCCTTCCATAAAATGTTAATTTTTGAGGAAAGTTGTGGATATTTTTCCGAGAAATTTTCAAGCACTTTAGGTAAAATTGCGAACAAATATACCTGAAAAATTGGAAGAAAAATATTCACAAATTTTCCCGATAATTCTTGCTTTACTAACGGAAATTTGGCAATGCCTGAAGGCTCATGGCAGCGATTTTCTTCAGCGCTCCATGGTTCGACATGTCCGTACTCTCCCCATCTAGGTGCTCTAAGCCGTACGATTCGGCGGTCGGACTCTCACTGCAAGGAACCGTGCCCTCGGTTAGTGCCACCGAGCTTTTTCTTAAGTTCGGTTTGGTTTGAAAGCTCGGGTGCGTTAACCGAAGCCATACATGAACCGAATGGTGGACCGTCATGCAACGCCGTACCTACGGCTCATAAGGCCGAACTTAATATATTTCACTAAAACGTTATACCATGTCCTCCGACGTTTTACTTGTATAAAATGATACTACATGTTTAATTGTGCTGTTTCAGTGGTTATGGTCGTCATTCTTTCTTAGCAGAAATAAGACATATGAATGCGAGTTCAAAAATAAAGAGACGAATATATATTACCCCTCGCCGGAGGAGTTCAAAATTCAATTTTGATGCCAGAGAGAGTTGTACAAACATTTCAGACAAAAAGAGCCGGATAATATCATACCAAACCGGAGTTCTAGAGTGTTTTTTTCAAATTTCTAGCATTTAAGTCTCCCAATCGAAACAAATTTTGAGACGCTTCTTGGCCGTGAAAAGCCGATCCTAAAGATGCCGAACAATACGAGGTTTAACCGTTCCTTTCTCTGGTTAACGATGATGAGGCTGATCAAAGGTGTCCCTCTCACAAGAAACTAATAAAAATAATTGTGTTCTTGTGTTACTTTTGGTTAATACAGGAAGTGAAACACTAACCAGTTTACGACGAATTTAGCGCAGAAAACGATGGGGGACTAGGAAAATGCACTCCTCCGATTGCGACGTTTTTTTTTACCACTCATTTTTTATTGAATTCTTCAAGGAAACTAGCTGGCATTTTCTCTTGAAACTGTCAATCGAGGGCTGGGGTTATTTTGTGTTTCACTTCCCTTATTAACCAAATTTTAGTGTTGAGATTTATCTCTGTGTAGTACGGGCTCTCCTTGGCAAGAGAGCTGACCAAGGAACGACTATGAATACGACCAGTGGCGTGGCGTGAGTTGCGATGTATTGATTGTAATGCCATTTAAACCTATGGTAAATAATCGATTATTAAGGTGTTCGCTGCGAACACCCTGTATATCGATCCTTTTCAATAGGTTTAAATGGCATAACAATCGATATATCGCAATTCACGCCACGCCACTGAATACGACCTGACACTTAATGCGTTCAACTATTGAACAATTCTTAAACACATCTAGGCATCTTGTCTGTAAAAAAAATGCGTAGATAATGTGACGTCAAAAAGATGACGTTTCTTGCGCTTGAGACGTTCCGTTTTCTAAGTACCGCTTGCCCGAAACTTTGGCCCTCGTTTCAATTTTAGGAAGATTTTTTCTTAAATCGAGTCTCGCACATCACGTAGACGCCGATGAAATCTGGCCCTCTCGTCAACAAAGAGGTTGGTATGGAACGGATCAACCGACGCAGGAGAATGTTTATTTACACTGAGCCCTACGCTTTAACGTCGATATTCCGATTCTTCTTCCGACACAGCTGTAAAGAGTATACGAACCCACCGATTAGTCGTTCCGGCGACTCTATTCACAGTTTCGATTGGTAAATGATAGCGAAAAATCCCCTGAATATTCGAGCTTATCGCGGAAATAATTAGGATATCTCCTGATCATCCTGGATACGTACTGAGGATGGACATGTTGACAACAATGTTCAATAATCACTTCCTTCCCATTTTTAAGGATGCAAAAGTATCCACAAACCCCCAATATTTTATTTGCAGTTTATTCTTGTTGAGTTATTAATGGATTTTCTCATGCTTTTCAGGAATTGTCTGACTTTCGACTATTTCTCCGATCGTTAACGACGAAGTTTTTACTTGTTCTTTCCCAGAATATAGATTTCGGAGTCACCGACCCGATAACATGAGACTTTTGAAAGATGCAGGAAGATCAAACAAGGAGGAAAAACATATTATTTATCATGCAATTTTCAGACTTTCTCCTAACATTTCGATGCGAGTTTTCCCCTGTTTTCTCTTGGTCACAAGCCTGCACACAATATGAAAAGAAGTCTAACGTTTGTGCTGCTTTAGGCAATACGACACGAAGTAACACAAAATCCTGGGTAATTACTTATGCATGGTTATTCTTCCGGTTTAGTGGACTGAATATTTTAGTTGAGCAACTCCAAAGCTGTAAAAATTAGGCATGGTCAACTAGGATCGAACCCGAACCTGGATCTCGTAGTAGACAATCCAGTCGTCTTACTATTGGGAACCGACGAACGGCAAATAGGAAAACCTGAGTGCATCAGGTCAGCAGGATACTTCCTAGATCATGAGATATCTCGGAGTGATTAAGGGTTCCGGTTGTTTTAACAGAAAATGTGATCGATCTAACCTGACGAAAATCAACCCAAGGTAACCGAAGACACCGACATTCTTAACTGAACAGAGTTCATCAGAAAGTAACTAACCTCCATAGAGTCCAAACGGAGACCAAGAGGTTTGAAGCTTCATTCCTCCTCAAGACTCAATATAAAAAACGATCTTTAACCCCTCTTTCCTTGGACTAATTTTGTTTTTCGACTTTGAGTTTTTGGCAGGAATACGTCTAGGAACTCAAAAACATTCTCAACTCAATTCTTTCGAATATGTCGGCTGGCTCCTTTCTGATTGAACTGAGTCCATTTGTGTGCCTACATCTTGATTCAGGCTACCCGGACCCGATGTTCCTTGGGTTAGACGAATAACTACTTTAGTCGAGAGTCGGCCCTGTTCCTCATAAGCATATTTCAGCGCGCAGGATCGATTGGGAAGGGGGGACTTACTTAGAGACTAGCAGGGGCATCGGGGCGTCATGTCGAGTCCTGGGGCTGTCCGTTCCTCGTTCCGGCGTCAGGGAGCCGGCACACACACACTGATCTGCCTCCACGTCCACTAATACACATTCCCGAACACACACATCGCACTATTTGCACCTCCGAGGACCTAATTAGCAGTCAAGTTGAGGAGCGCGACGGTGGAACCACGCCCTGGCCGAAGACTCGCTCGCACTGGCGGCGCGGACGGGCGACGCGCCGCGCCGCCAGCGGCAGGGACCCGGTCCCTGTGAGTGACGGAGCAGTGCGCAGGGACAAAATATTTCACTCACTCCGCGCTAAGGACCTCATTTTTTAGCGACTGCACGGAGAGAAAAATCAACACTCCAGTTAGGTTAACACGGGAAGTAAAACACAAAAGAACCCGAGCCTTCGGTTGACAGTTTCGAAAGAGAATGCCAGCTAGATGTCTTAACGGAATTTCATAAATAAACGAGTGGGGACTTCCAACGTCTCAATCGGAGGAGTGCATCTTCCCAGTCCCTCCATAGTTTTCTCCGCTAAATTCACCGCGAATTGTACCAAAATAATCACAGGGTTTGTGTTGGCTTGTGTTTCACTTCCTGTATTAACCAAAAGTAACACAAGAGCACGAATAGTTTTATCGATGAGGCGAGCTCCATGAGAGATGCAGAACGTTCTTAGACTTCCTACTATTCAATTCGTCCTTACTAAAACCTCTTCTTTTCGGAAGAATTTCAAAGGTAGATCTTGAGGAACAAATTGCCGTGACCTAGCAAAAAAATGCGCAATTTTTGAGCTGACTTGTGCCGGCTTTCTTAATTTTAAATTCGCGTATTTTCGGTGATCTCATTTTCTCAACGATCACAACCCGCCAGTCACGTCGACGAGAAGTTTTAGCACCTTTCTTAAAAATAAGTGTAATTTTTTTTTTATTTATTTATTAATATGCAGCGGTTGAATTTTAAGAGGACAAATAATAAAACAACTTTTACTGGAGATATGTCTGTTAATCACAGGGGCGGACTACCTCAAATTTTTCGAGCGGCGCGCCCCATCGCAGAGAGGACCGGAAGTCCTTCTCAGTGGATCGTATTCGATAGTGGTTCGATTTATCGTTTTGTTCAAGACATCAGAGCATGACTTCGAACAAACATTTTAGGATCTAGGTTAGAAAAGCTGAAGAGGAGGAAATTCCGAACAATTTCACTTTTCATTTCATGGAGCACTCATTAGAATCAAAAATCAATCACGAAAACCCGTCCCCATAGAATGCTCGGTTGACTTTCGAGGCTATGTTTCCATTTTGAATCGATATCGATACTATCTCAGCGACAGAACGCCTGTTTGATGTATCGAACGTTTCAAAACAAGACGGACAGAAGGCGCTCCAAGGAGTCTTAGGGCTATGCGAAATTCCTTGAAAGATGCCGAATGCGGGATGGGGCAGCAAAAATTTGCCAAAAGAGACCTCTGCGGAGCCCTTTGGGCTGAACTTAAGGGGTCGATAGCCCCCTGACCTCCCGTGCTAGTCCGTCCCTGTTTATTCAAAAGTTATACGGCAACAAATAGTTGAAAATATGTGGCCGAGACACGAAAACTGCCGTTCTAAGGAAAAACGCCATATGAACCTTCAGGCGTAGCCAAATTTCCTTTGATAAAACACGAATTTTCTAGTAAGCGTATGAAAATTTTCCCTCCATTTTTTCAGACAATTTTGTTCGCAATTTCACCTAAAATCCCTTAAAATTTCAAGGAAAAATATTCATACCTTTCCTCAAAAAGAAGAATTTTATTGAAGAAAATTTGGCAGCTCTCGAATGTTCATTCGGCGTTCTTCCTTAGCAAGGCAGAGGAGCTATTCGATCCTTACGCAGAATCTTGCAGAGGCGAGGCGTGAATGATCGATACAGGGTTGCCACCGAATCTAGAAAGTTAAATTTCCTAACGCTTCCCTATTTTCCCTGCCACTTTTCGGTCGAATTCCCTGACAATTGAAGATATGCCAGATGGTTAAAGGAGACATGATTAGAATTAGTTTTTAAGCGAAATTTCTTGTTCGAAACGGAAAACCCATTTGCGGAAGCAAATTAAGGTGACTTAACAATTTTTCCCTGACATTTCCGGCTTTTCCCTGACTTATTTATCTCCCCTGACATTTCCCGGTATTCCCTGACAGTGGCAACCCTGGTGAATCATCGATTATCGCTATTTCCCTATTTGAGGCTGCGGTAAAGAATCGATCATAAATGTGTTCGTTGAGAACACCCTGTTTATCGATCCTTTTCCATGGGTTTAAACGGCAGATCAATCGATACATCGCAAAGCACGCCACGCCACTGGCTTCTCCGTTCGGAGGGCGGGAGACCGACTCCGACAGATAGGGTTCCGATCCGGAGACCCGCTCGCCGCTAGGAGCGTGCGCGACGCCTGCGCCCTGACGACTTCGGGTGCCCCTCCCGCCTGCCCCCCCCCCGCTCTGGCCGCCCCACCCGCACACTAATCCTACATCTGCGAGAAAAGGCGGAGATTCGGGCAAACGACTGCATGTTGCGCCCCCCCCCTCACCTCACCCCAACGCGGCTTTCTCGTTTTAATCAACACGCATATTCACGCGAACGCATAGCCCTCGCCCCTCCAGCCCTCGTTAAGTTTTCAAAGCTCGACGCTGGAACACGTCACCATGACCCGAGAGCGAACTTACCGGGAGAAACAAACGGATAAAAACTGAGGGTCGTGCTTATTCATGGTTCTTCCTCACCTTACGGAGCACCCGTCCTTCGGAAGCCTCGTATCGTTGACATTGCGATAAAGGGGGGTGTGAGGAAATCCTCAGCATCATATCATATAAAGTGACACTTTTAGCGAATCTCGAGTGAAATTCATTTTTAGAACTTAGGATTCAGATCCTTGCACGGGAGTGCAAAAAATTACCTCTGCGAAAAAACAAATACACAAAAAACAGGGGCAGGGGGAAATTGGCAGATTTTAAAAATGTTAGGGGAAGTTACTTCGTACCTATCTTAAAGTTTGTCATAACAGTGGCATTTTCTTGCTTTTTTATTTTTTTTTAGTAACAAGTCTATACAATTCCTTAGAATTTTTACAGAGACCAGGCAAAAAAAGAAGAAAAAAAACAAGAAAAAATCAGGGATGTTCAGGTTCAAAATATCTGGAAAGCCAGAGAATGTTTATTCAAGAAGACTTGTCACTGTATACTGACAGCAATGATGACGATAAGTTGTAATTCCGCTAGTTCTTCCCGAATGCGGTCCAGCATATTGCTCTATTTGGCAATACTGCCACTTACGAGAGGTAGAAGGTGATTGATAGGATGCGATGTTTACAGATTTCCACGTAAATTCATTGAAAACATTCAGAGGAAAGTAAGGTGCGAAATTGCCGAAAACGTCAGGCAAGTGATTGTCGCGTGAATAGTCTAGTCTACGCTTGTATTCCATGTATTCACTCATTTATTTCTTTTCTTTTTATTCCATTAAATACTTAAACCACCCTCTCTTGGTGCAGCGATGGCGTGTGAATGCAATGAGTAAAACACTTAGTTAGCATAAGCAGAATAAATTAGAGGCGCTCCGTCTTTTTCAATGGCCAGGTCTGGATGCAACTATTCGTGTTCTCCGGATGTGCGTATTGCATACCAAAAAAATTGCAGGCGCTCTGGTTTTCTGAGGAACAACTTATGGCTGCGGTTGTTGGTTTTCACGGGTTTGCTACGTTGCATTTACAAGCATGTTTACCATGAAATCCTCGAAATTTGGATGTGTCGTGTAGCATCATGACACCGTTGTCAAATGGTGCAAAAAGTGGAAATGTTATCGGTAGTAACTTGCGGCGTTAAATCCGCGATGACTTTGTGGAAATGTTTTTTGGTGGAAAATTCGCACCATTTGGCAACACCATGGTGCTGCACGACTCGTCCAAATTTCGAGAGTTTTATGTAAAACACGATTATAAATGCAACTTGGCAAACCTTCGAAAACTAACAACCGCAGCCGTAAGTTGTTCCTTGGAAAACCAGAGCGCCTGCAATTTTTTGGTATGCAATACGGACATCCGGAGAACACGAATAGTTGTATTCAGACCTGGTCATTGAAACAGCCGGAGCGCTTTTCATTTTTTCAGCTTATAATAACAAAGAGTGTCCCTCATTGCATTCACACGTTATCGCTGTATGCGGAAAGGGCGGTTTGAGTATTGAATCAAATTGAGAAAAAGAAAAAAATGAATGCATAGAATAGAAGGGAGACTATTCATACGACAATTACTCGCCTGCTTTTTTCGGCAAATACATACTTCAGCTTCTTCTGAAACTTTTACTTCAATTTACCTACGTGGAAACCTGTAAAAATCGTATCCTACTACGTTGCCAAGAAGAGCAACATACTGCACCGCTTCCTCAAAAAACGAGCGGGATTAAGATCTATCGTGATCATCGCTGTCAGTATATGGTGACAAGTTTTCATGAACGTAAACATTCTGACTTTCCAGATATTTGAACATAAAAATCCCCGACTTTACCCCGCCTTTTTAGTGTTTTCTTTGCATACTTAAGTAGTTATTTTCAGGGTTCTCTTTGCATACTTGGTTTAAAAATAGTTCTGATCACAAACATCTCAGAGCGGGATGTATCTTCAAAGTGAAAATAAGCATTTTTTTGGCTGGAGGAAAAAATTTCCGCAGCAAAATTCCCTAACTTTTCCAGACTTATCAGGGTTTGGTATAATTCCTTGAGTATATTCTGTACTTTAAATATTGTGAAGGAGCCGATCATTCTAATCCCTTACAAGAATCTATGTCCCAGGTTTTTCGGTGAATTTTATTCGATATTCGTTAAAACTGTCTTTAAATGAAGCTAATTATTCAAGGCTTCCTTAACCTACCTTCAATCAGTATGTAAACTTATTATGAGGCCTTCCTAAGGAAAAAGGCTGTTTGGGAAATAAATGGGATTGTGAGTCTAAGTCTGACCTGCGGGCTGATTGTTGGAATTGATAGGCATAGGTTTAGACAAATAAGACGAAGCGGATATGGAAAGATCCCTGTAGTGAAAGCGGGTCGTAGCGATGGACGAAGGGGGTAGGTAATTGACTAACCTAACCCACGAGAGGCCCTATA